ATTATCACACGTGACAACCTAGACTGGTTACCACCCCTTAAGTTTTTATGAAGAATTTCTCAACTGCGTTTTACTACTAGTTATTTTACATCTAGTTGAAATCTAGGATCAAAAATCTAAATGATCAAAATTATTTAAGTTATTATTTTTTTGTGTAAATAATTCAATATTCTAGAGACGGGGGCCAATGTAGTCTCATCAGGATGAACATTTACACTGTCAACGCGGGCTGAAGTCGTGTAATATAGAAATGGCTGAAGTTGGAGTAATCAGTGATACTCTTCTAGCATTGTCAATCCTCTATCAGGTCTGGTCAGTGAGATAGACGCTCTGGTCAGTGTGTAGTAATGTAGTAAGTGACACGTGTTGTCCGTAATGTTTACCCCTGGCCAGTTGTCCAGTAAATTCCCATGTTACTATATACGTGATAGCGGTACCGTAATCTCCCAGCAGACGTCTGTATAGAGGGACTATACTACACTATCACTGATTACATTAAACCAATAGGAAAGAAACTGGACCTTTATTGAAAAGAACATGATAGGTTCCCTAATGACATGACCTTTTACACGAGTGTATCAACATACATTGATTCCCTCGGGTCCCTCGGGTACAGAAGGTAACATATTATGTTCAAGGTACGTCAGTGTTAGAATGCTTATCTACCCGTTCGTACCACCATCTTTATTTACTATATGTGTATACTGTTGTATATAGAAGAACTCGATGACAACTGTTAGAAATACCATCAACCTTATTACAGAAAGTTAAAGTAAAATGCTGATAATCAAAGTTATGTTTTGACAACAAATTTCATGGATGACAGCGTAAAATCCTACATACATTATTAAAATATGATTAATGGAAAGGAGTGTGAAATTGTTTTTAATTTTGCAACCAGATATATTATATGAATATATTCACGAGCATGGAGTTTCATTATACATGCAAATGGTACAACTCGTATTATAAAAAGGCTATGCTTATTATCAAATGATACGTATTATGTGAGGTAATTGGTCGCGAAACAAAAAACTGCCAAAAAGGTTGGAAGTATACAATCTTAGTTAAAAATAAGACAATTCTAAAGCAATAATGATAACAAAAACGATGTACGGACTCCAATCCCAAATATCTAAACTCAAAGTTACTGTAAACTCTGATATACACTTCTTAATACCGTATATGTCCTAATACGACATAGTCATTTTCGCATTTTTCACTACGATACTCTCTCAGGACAAAAACGTGGCAATGGCAGTGAATATAAAGACATTCGGAAACCATTTTTTAAGTTAAATAGTTGTTAAACTAATCCATTGGTAATTAACAATGAGAGTAAAGCATTAAATACTTGTTACATGTTCTAAACGTGCTGGCGATGTGTGTGATTCCAACAGCTTAACTGTAAAAACCAATTCAAAATGTTCTATCATTAATAATAATTAAAAAAAATTGTCTGTTCGATATTTGCAGACTATCTTACACCAGTCACGATCATGATCAATAGACGACCTTACATAAGTCACGTGTCAATCAAGTTCACGTGTTGGTCAGTATGAATCGCTGGTCAGTGCCACGATATTTCCTTATAAGGCACTGGTCAGATATGCTATCTTGTTAAATTCCGTAATCGCTTCACAACCGTCGTATGTTTGGACTGGACATAACACATCAGCAATGTTTATCAACATGGTTTATTAAAAGTTAAGAGGAATGCAGAAATGATAAAAAGAAATGCAATAAAATATGTGTATGTGTCGTAATGGTGACGATATATGTATATATATACGGTTTTTCTTTACAATTCTTATTTATATATTTTATTTATCTATTAATTTATCTGCTTTTAATGACGTTATGTATCAATATATGCACACTTCCATAATAAATAAATCAACCTTTAATAATTAATATAAAGACGTTGTCACTGTTCTGCTCTGTATTATTTACCAACACATGATACAAATGTGAACAGTTATCACTTTTCTATAACTACAACTTGCCTATTACTAACATCTGCCTATAGCTAGCACCGCGTTCATCTTTACAGAAGTTGGATAAACCGTTCAACATATTAAGAAATTATACTTTCTAGATTATAGGTATGTTTATACTAACATGTGTTTGTATCGAATTATCTTCTTAAAATTAATCGATCGTCATTTTAAATACAAAATTATAAGAAAATACCGAAGTGTCAACAAAACCATAATTCGACCTAAGAATCGATAGATAAAGAACACAGAGAATAAAACCAGGTATTCCAAAAGGGTAAGCGTCTTCTGCTTCATCGAGACACCCGCCATGAAAATCTTAACTTTTGTGTACCACTGAACGTTGCTCATAATTCCTGCAAAACTTCACAATGCTGATGACAGTTGTGTATCTAGCATTTATAGCATGTGCCAAATATCGAAACATGAAAGAATACATGGGGAAAATACCGCGTCGTCGACAATAAAGGAAAATCAACCGATCTCAAACTACCAAAACATCCGTCCAATCCCCGACAGTGATAAACCAATACATCCGCCCAATCTCGGACAGTGCTGTTATCAGATGTAGACTAAACTAAAACATCCGTTCAATCTCCGACAGTGCTGTTATCAGATGTAGACTGAACCAAAACATCCGTCCAATCTCCGACAATGCTGTTATCAGATGTAGACTAAACCAAAACATCCGTCCAATCTCCGGCAGTGCTGTTATCAGATGTAGACTAAACTAAAACATCCGTTCAATCTCCGACAGTGTTGTTATCAGATGTAGACTAAACCAAAACATCAGTTCAATCTCCGACAGTGCTGTTATCATATGTAGACTAAACCAAAACATCCGTCCAATCCCCGACAGTGATAAACCAAAACATCCGTTCAATCTCCGACAGTGATAAACCAAAACGTCCGTCCAATCTCCGACAGTGCTGTTATCATATGTAGACTAAACCAAAACATCCGTCCAATCTCCGGCAGTGCTGTTATCAGATGTAGACTAAACTAAAACATCCGTTCTATCTCCGACAGTGCTGTTATCAGATGTAGTCTAAACCAAAACATCCGTCCAATCTCCGACGGTGCTGTTATCAGATGTAGACTAAACCAAACCATCCGTCCAATCTCCGACAGTGCTGTTAACAGATGTAGACTAAACCAAAACAGCCGTTCAATCTCCGACAGTGCTGTTATCATATGTAGACTAAACCAAAACATCCGTCCAATCTCCGACAGGGCTGTTATCAGATGTAGACTAAACCAAAACATCAGTTCAATCTCCGACAGTGCTGTTATCAGATGTAGACTTAACCAAAACATCCGTCCAATCTACGACAGTGATAAACCAAAACATCCGTCCAAGCTCCGACAGTGCTGTTATCAGATGTAGTCTAAACCAAAACATCCGTCCAATCTCCGCCAGTGCTGTTATCAGATGTAAACTAAACCAAAACATCCGTACAATCTCCGACAGTGCTGTTATCAGATGTAGTCTAAACCAAAACATCCGTCCAATCTCCGCCAGTGCTGTTATCAGATGTAAACTAAACCAAAACATCCGTCCAATCTTCGACAGTGATAAACCAAAACATCGGTGCAATCTCCGACAGTGCTGTTATCAGATATAGACTAAACCAAAACATCCGTTCAATCTCCGACAGTGATGTTATCAGATGTAGACTAAACCAAAACATCAGTTCAATCTCCGACAGTGCTGTTATCAGATGAAGACTTAACCAAAACATCCGTCCAATCTACGACAGTGCTGTTATCAGATGAAGACTTAACCAAAACATCCGTCCAATCTACGACAGTGCTGTTATCAGATGAAGACTTAACCAAAACATCCGTCCAATCACCGACAGTGCTGTTATCAGATGTAGACTTAACCAAAACATACGTCCAATCTCCGACAGTGCTGTTATCATATGTAGACTAAACCAAAACATCCGTCCAATCTCCGCCAGTGCTGTTATCAGATTTAGACTTAACCAAAACATCCGTCCAATCTCCGACAGTGCTGTTATCAGATGAAGACTTAACGCCTTTAAATATATACATTGATATAAATTATAAAGTTCATTACAGAATCCTTAGTCCACTGATTCATCTATGTGTTTAGATTGTTCAGGGGGAATGTCTTTTTCTAAGGAAGTACTACTGTGAAATAGTAAAATACACAAGTAGCGTCAATACACTATTGTCCAAATATTCCACACCTAGAATACACAATGAAGAAAGATACCATTATGTCAGTGCAAATGGCATAGCTATCATAATCATAGCGCCAATACCAAATGAATAACAATACGCCAATACACAGGAACAACATAAAATATAGACATGTACCGTTGCTTCAACACACTAGTACAAATGCACTAAAGCAACAACACATAGATATAGCGCAAATACGTCAGAACACACTATACCATACTATCAACACAGAGTGATACATATATACTAATGAGTCAAGAAACGAAAAGTTACCATAGCGTAAAAGATGTAATGACAAGTATACCATAGCGCCATACATAAGGACAAAATAAACCTTAACATCAATTATAATTATAAATTGAAGGTTCACTACGCAAGAAGAACATACATTAGAACAAAACAGGTAAAATACACAACTGGAACCCAGGAAACATGAAACCGAAAAATTGCATCCTCATACGAACATAAATAATATTATTTCTTATACAGATGTATTGTAGTGCTACCGTTATTGATAATCTACCAACAAAAAATATGTATGACAGTATGAAATCGACGTTAGCTTGGAATGAACGATTTTCTCGTTTTACTGACCAGTGCGTTAAAGTCATTGCATTATCTAAGTTTAAATGGAATTCCTTGATACTGACCAGAGTATACAAGGTCACACGTGAGAGCCATCTCCTAACTTGATAACAGGTCACGTTTAAACTACACGGGGACGCGTCTTATATCACAATTTATGAAATAAAATTGGAATCCGAAATGGTATAAATATGAACAGAACATGGGAAAAAGCAGTTCTAGCAACTATAGTTCGTGAGGACGCACCATGCTTCGTGTACTCTGTCTCGCTCTAGCCTTGCAGGCCGTATTAGGGGGCAACCTGGTACAAGTGTTACAGTCCGAAGGAGAGTCCACGCTGGTCAGCCTAGTACAGAAAGCAGGCCTAGCTGATGCTTTAGGACAAGGTAAGTGTCAAACGTTATTATCTTTCTAACAAATTAAAAGTTCTATTTTCACGTAAAGCGATCTCAAGAGGTGATTGTATTTTGGATTTCTGCGATATGTATTCATCGATGTCATAATCGTTCGGTTAATCACAGGAAATAGAAAGTATGAAACTATGAAAAAGTCGACACAAAGCCAAATTAAGTAAACGTGTTATAGCATTATATTTCTATTTTGTCCATTTACAATTCATCAATGGTACTTTGAAGATCAAAAGAATGTAAACGCATCTCCAAAATGTTACGAACCTCTACAGCAATAAAGTGAAAGTGGGGAAGGTGTCTATTAAAACGTTCATAACTTTTTTAATTGAAAAGGTCATGATACAATACATATTTTTCTTAAAGTAAAACTTCCTGTAAACCGAGCAAGAATAAATTAACTCCTTGACTATGTTTCTACAGCTTTAAAATGAAGAGTGATTATAATTGTGGCCATACGATATATAATGTAAATACCTCTTCTTTGTTGGAATACCAAAGATTTTGTATAACATCTGTAAGTTACTATGGACCATCGTAAACTGTCATGGCTACTTTTGATTACATTGAACGTTTTACCTGTTTCTAGGAACTTTTACCATTTTCGCTCCGACCAATGCTGCCTTCGCTAAGCTGCCGGCAGATCTTCTTGCCTCCCTCAGCAATGACGTCGATGCTCTCGCCAATGTTTTGAAATATCACGTGGTTCAGGGATCTATCCGGAAACAGGACGCTTCCAACGAAGCCCAACTTGATACATTGGCTGGCAAAAAAATCAGGCTCAACATCTACAGTCATAACAATGTAAGTCACCGCCAGTTTTATCATTTTCATCGTTTTCATGAGATTCAAAATCACATTGCCTCCAGATCAGTTTCATCCAATTAAAATCGTTATTTTCATATTGAAGGTAAATAGTCATCAAACAAATTTCGAGTTGAAAAATTCAGATTAACGACATTGTACTGACTCAGACATGTTTAAACAGACAATAGCGTATGCTAACTCCGTATAAATGTGGTTCAGATTTCACAAATATTTACAAGTTACTTTTAGCAAGGCTATCGAACAGGAAGCTTAGTATTGTAGGGTTTTAGAGTATTGTATATAAATGTTTCGGTTTAGATAAATTGTATGTCCTAACATGATTATCATTTCTGGTAACTATACCAACAATTATGATGTCAGTATGAAGACAATAGACATAACGTCAGGAGATTGTGACGAGTTGACGAAATTTAATATTAACCTACATGGCGGTCGTTGAAAAATATCCGATGGAAATAGATACAGTTTTTGTCGGATTTTCACTGTCTCAGTCATTCAAAAAGTTTGTTTCAAATTTCATATGAGATTTGTGGAACTCGCTCCGGTATTACATTATCAATGCAGCAGAACCTGAGCTTGTGGAAACTTATTCCTGAATTATTTTGTAAATCTCATATGCAAAGAAATCGAATTGAGGACTTAATATATTCAGTAGGAATTATTTATCACTCGTTATTTATTCTAATACTAACACAAACTTCCTCAACTGCTTCTAAAAATATTTCTCGTTTGATAGTCATATAGTAATAAAACTACCTTAAAGTAATGAAACGAAAAAAACTGTGATGTTAGTGTAGTGATAAACGCCTGTATAAGTAACACAGCCTGGTACTACGGACTCATCAGTTGACGGGACTTATCGTAAAGTATTTGCTTTTGAAATGTTCGTAGTTAAAGCTGGACCGTGATATTACGTACGGTATAAATGAACGGTATAAATTATTCCAGCTCAATTGCAGCCAAGGACAACGAAATATGCATCACGGAAATGTTTATGTACAAAACCCCCGATTATGTGTAACGCTTATGACGTATGCGAGTGACCAGCTTTCTTTCGGTATTGGCTACGCTGTGTAATCATTTATAGCTGTGCATTAACGGGATAGAACTATGTAGTATAAAGTACAGCCTAAAACATTGTTTTTTCTCATTATTTGTAATATAGGAAGTTACAGTGGAAGGGTCCAAGATAACTGACTTTGACCTTCGAGCGGACAATGGATACGTCCACATCATTGATACAGTGATGCTACCACCAGAGGGCAGCATCGTCGATATAGTTGCCGGTGCCACAGAGTTATCCACCTTGTTGTCAAAAGTCAAAGCAGCAAACCTGGTATCAGCTCTACAAGGTAGGTCAAGGTCATTAGATTAGAGATGAAAGTATTGTCTTGTTTTTTGGCGATTTAAATCCTATAATTATTGCTACTTCAGTCAATTCGTTTTGCTTAAAACTTCTATTTAATATTTCAACTTTAAACTCTAAAAATGTGAAGTCCTGATCAAGTTGAATTACATTTTGACTTGTTACAAACAAATAATAAATCTGTTTATCATATTGATAGCTACCTTCAATTGTTTTTTGAAAAGCCGTTTTTATCATACAGGAGATGCTCTCACCGTATTCGCACCAACAGATGACGCATTTGCACGTCTAGGAACAACAGTATTGAACAACCTCGCCAATGACCCCAAGCTTCTAAAAGGTAGGAAATAAACTTCAGTAGATATTCAAACGTCTGATTTATACTTAGTTTAGATTATAGCATAAGTAAATAATTACACCATGTATTGCATGCAAGTTTTTCAAATACTCTTTCCAAACAACAGAAGTCCGTGGTGTTAAAACTCTATTCATTTGACAACAAGCCATTTAAGCTTCATTTAATGATCACTGGTGTTTAGCAAAAACTTAACGCGTCGGGTATCTGAACGTGGGAGGAAACCGGAGTACCCCGAGAAAACCTACGTCTTCGGGTAGGTGACTCCCTACCAATTCGCTTCAAGTCGTGGAATGAAACCTCGGCCGCCTTGGTGTCTTTTTGAGACAGTATAAGGATGTGAATATCACATGAAGTGTTCTAGTATATGCAAGGGAGTATGATATGCAAGAGTAGGTTGTGATACCACATGTTTAAAGGCCTGTGGGTATCCCACGTTTCCTTTGGTTGTCGACTCTGAACATGTCTTATGTTTTCTTTGTTGACGCAACGACATATGAAACCTTGTTGGTGATTATTTTCATTTTGTCCAAAAAAAAAAAAGATGGTAATAGGTATTGTTATGTAAGAAATTACTATATGTTCTTTCTCTTTCCTGTTAGAAATTTTGGAATACCATGTTGTCCCACACACCGAGTACTCTGCCGGTCTATATAACAGAGAATACGTGAGGACACTGGACACACGTCATGACGTCATCAGAATAGGCGTATCTGGTAAGTATAGATTTTAACTTACATATATATATTAGCCTATCCCCATCTCCTACTCCCCTTCCCCCACCCCACCACCCCCTAATAAATCGTGTTTACATTTCCTCTGGATACACATTATCTTTAAAATATGTCACTGTCCGGCCGATAAGTGAATTATTTAAAATCTATCGGTAGCGGTATATCAAATTTATTACGTATACACATGTACAAAGTTTTCGATCTTGTGAACAGTGTACATATTGTTTCAAAACCACAAGGTTACGGATACTGATAATGTATTGGTGTTTTTAAACACATCAGAACATATCAATATTTGGAATATCCAGATTGGATGGAATGGCTGTAGTGGCAGTGCCTATTTAACAAAAAAAGGTTTTTACACGAGATTACCATTTATCAACACCCGTTCCCCTACATAGAATGTATATAAAGATATCTTCATAATAAACCATTGTTCTTATATCTCCATACACTGTGCACAAGTATAATTTGGCCTTTACTTTATTTTATCTTCAGGCCCAGTTACCTTACCATCTATTGTCGATTTACACAATTAGGTTATGAAATTTAAAACAAAAGAAAAGTCAACAAAACAATGTTGTTTTTCTTTCAGGCTCATCAGTCTACGCGAACAACGCAAAAGTGACCAAGGCCGACATTAACGCCAGTAATGGAGTTGTCCACATAATTGATCACGTGCTTATTCCACTGAGGTACCTAGGATCTGCAATATTTGGAAAGAAGTAAAGCGATTCTGTTGGAATGTATCATCATTGTTGATCGTTTGTTTTGTTGTATATAACGTTTTTTTTACAAAAATAAAATGTTAAAATGTTCTTCGTACTTGAAGTATTTATTTTGGGTCAAAAATAAAACGTAACCATATGAACAATATTGAAATGTTACCACGAATGTATCGATTAGCTGAATAGTTTGGATATCTACAAATGTAAAACATCTGTTTGGACTAACTTATAACGTTCCTTTTATGTAAAATGTACATCAAAGTCAATCACAAAGACAAATTGTACCACAGTGGCAACACAAACAGACAAAAAATACCACAGTGGCAATGTACAAGGTCATAATAGACCACAGTGACAAAACACAAGAACAAAATGTACCACAGCGTCAGCATACTGGACCAAAATATACCACAACGTATGTATAAACAATCAAAATACACCGCACTGGCAATATACGATGATAGAATATACCACAACGTCTACATACGTTGACAAATGGTAACACAACTTCAGCACACAATGACAAAATATACCACAGCATCAACACACTTCGACAAAGTATACCACAATGTAAACACTCAACGACAAAGTATACAACAACGTCAGCACACAAGGACAAAATATAGCAAAACGTCAACACACAAGGACCAAATATACCACAGCGTCAGCATACTGGAACAAAATATACCACAACGTATGCATAAACAAATAAAATATACCGCACTGGCAATATACGATGATAGAATATACCACAACGTCTACATACGTTGACAAATGGTAACACAACTTCAGCACACAATGACAAAATATACCACAGCATCAACACACAAAGACAAAGTATACCACAATGTCAACACTCAACGACAAAGTATACCACAACGTCAGCACACAAGGACAAAATATACCATAGCGTCAGCACACAAGGACAAAATATAGCAAAACGTCAACACACAAGGACCAAATATACCACAGCGTCAGCATACTGGAACAAAATATACCACAACGTATGCATAAACAAATAAAATATACCGCACTGGCAATATACGATGATAAAATATACCACAACATCTACATACATACGTGGACAAATTGTAACACAGCGTCATTCAACTGGGACAAAAATAAACTAGAGCGGCAACACACAGGGACAAAATAAAATATACCACACCGTCGACATTCATGCACAAAATAAACAAGACGGATTGATTTATTACCTTAATATAGAGACAGGTAGATATAATGCAGTGATTCGAATCCAGAGATTGTTTGTACTTTATGTGATCTTGGAGATATCGAGGATGAGTTTCATTTCATTCTTATGTGTCCTGTATTTTTAGAATTAAGAGTATCGCAAATCTAGCCATATCATCGTATTTGTCCTTCAGTGTTTAAAGTAATAGAGCTACTGTCTAGTAAATATTTTAAACTTATTAGAAATTTAAGCAAGTACATGATTCAAGCAACTGTTAAGAGAAGACGTATATCATGATATAGGCCTATAAGCTGGATCAAAGTCTTGCTATATACGTTTTGTTTCTGTATATTGTGATTGAGATCTATGTCTTTTACTTCACAATGAGTTATAATCTCATTTAATTATGTAATATATAGTAATCGTTCTACCTTCGTGTTGAGGTTGCATTATTGACTTTGAAGTTTTGTTATTTCCTATAAATTTGGTTAGCGTAAGGCTTTATTTGTATTATTTCATTAACAACTAAATAATGCTTCATGAGAGTCCGCTAATTTACCTTAGGAAAAACTTCAAGTTTTCCCCAACTTATGACTATTTCATGAATTTGTAATCATTATGTATGGAATTGAATCTATTGCATATGCTCTCCGCCATTGTACAAGCTATTTGTAAAGTATTGATCAATATGTATATTTCTGTACGCCTTTATGCAATGTGCATTTGGTAATAAACTGAATTTGAAACTTGTAAGGGTGAGGAAACACAAGATTAAAAAAGGAAAATAACAAAGATGACGCCATTACATCAGACACGAACCCAAACTATGTAAAGGAGTGCAATGCAGCTTGTGACATTCGGCGTGAGACAAAGGATCAATTTGTAATCTCTTTTTAATGGATTTTTCTTTGCCCATTTTTATGCCTCTTTGTGTATTTTTCATAGCAAATTTGCAACGTTATGATAATGTATACATATACCTTATCAAGCAAACTTTCTCTAATATACTGACATAGTACAGGAGTAGAGACGAAACAGAACGAATTCAAACTCCCGATTAATCACATATAAGGCTACGATGGTAACGTAGTTAGGTGACTAGCAAGGTTCACAGAAATATTGATGTATGTTTGCTGAATATTGTTTAAACACATGAAAAGCCTTCACAAACATACTCGGCATGTTTCGGTTTATAAAATCCCATATTATGTGATGAGGGCGAAATGTTCGTAAAGTATAAGACTAAACATTATTTTATTTTAATCTATTTATCTATTTATTTTTGTATCGAAATTGAAGCAATTCTTGACGTTGATGCTGCAGGATATTTTCAGTAATATGGAAAATTATCATGGCAGATTACTTTTGCTCAACCATTACGCTGCATTTTGTGACCTTGTTTTACGTTGGTAGACAGATTTGGAAATGTTTGACATAAAAACAAACAAAAAACGGGCACGATATTTATTTGAAATCATGCATATCCTTATAAAGAAAACACCCATACATTGGTTTGATTAAATGGTAATCTGACCATCCTACATAATAATGTCTAACAAGGATACATATTTGTCACTGCTCTTTTCACTTTAAAGCTGAATCTTAATAGTTTCTATATCATTTTGCAACGTGGGTCAAAAATGACATTAGTTAAAGATTCATAACAAAATAACACAAACAGCAAATTACACTGTAGACTTGGATAATTTCTGGCCTCAGTTACGATTCACGAAATACTACAAATTCACAGATTATATAAAAGACCCCCCCCCCCCCCATTTTTTCGGTGACTGACAGACTAAAAATTTAAACTGGCATGTTAGTGACCCAGTGGTAAAACTGCCAGTCTCGGTTTCTCTATGTAAACCCACCAATAGAGTAAACTAGGTGTGATTGCTACAATACATGAGCCCATATATTATAATTTGTATTATTAACCATATTCAAACCACCTGTCCCCGGTTTATTCTAGGGACGAAATAGCTCGAACTGGTATACAGTAAAGAACTGACCATTCCGGTTTACATGAGATGGTCTACCATTGCCTACCCTGTGGTACCACATTGTAGGTGTACTTCCCATACTTGAGCTGATATAGCTGATAAGAAATCTCAACCTTTGGAGTTAGCCTGTCAGCCATCCGCCAAGCCAAACATCAAGAGTGTGCAACTATATTCATGCCAACGTAATTACGACGAAAAAATAGACACTCTTTATTAATACTGTGGAATTTCAGATATACAGCAAAAATATATTGAAATAAACTTTACAATATAGGGTTATCCCCCCCTAACTAGAATATAATGATAATTGACTAGAAATGAATAGACAAGTATTAAAGGTCATTCTACTTGATTAAATCATAATTAAAGTCCATAATATGTAGTCCACTTAATTATATGCTCCTAAGGAGCACATATACCAAATAAATGATACCATATATAGCAAGGTAAGCTATCTTGTAGGTCTATGCCAGTTTATCATCTGGCAACATATTACTGGATACATCATTGTTTAAGTGTATACCACTTACCCAGTCCAATGGTATATTATTATGACCTACCACACTGATTGACAAGTTCATGTGACATTTTAAAATTTTCTGAAGACCTGACCAACACTGGCACGAACATAGGCCTATATCCACCTTGCGAAAGTCCAAATCAACTTCAGCGTTGTTGTGGTGAACCAGTCCGCCTGAAACATTTCCTTGGAAACAGCATAGATCCAGAAATATCCTGTGGACAACAAACACAACAGCAGAGCCCTGTCCAGTAATTATTTAAATGGTGTAGTTGGAGCGGTGGGTGGGTAAATTGTTCAACAGAATTCGAGCAGCCACATCCGGGACAGAGATATTCAGGGGCATGGATACGCTTAAAATTCATAAGCGCAAAATTAGTAAATAAAGCGTCTAGCTGATGTTGACCGAAGAGGAAAGACTTGTACAAGACCAAAATGGACAAATACCTAAACTCATTCAAGATTTTCACTTAAACTAAACTGGTATTATCATACAATTGATAAACCTTATTATAAAACGCAGTGGCATTGCTTCAAATTAAATCTAATGTATTTAAAAAAACACATCTCCGAATCACACTATTTACAGATTTCCATCCAGGTCTTATTGATCATTGCGCCCTTATGTGATAGTTTCAATATCATATGACAATAAATAACCTGCCTTACATCGAGGAATTTATCTACGAGCTACCTTCCCTTCTCTTTGCAACAATTGAAGGTCAGCGTCAGATGGTTAAATAGCGTGTGTGACATCATTTTCTCCTGGAGAGAATACAACAGGTGCTACATATGATTAGTCAGGACATGGTTTTCCTTGGCATTGTTTTGCATTGGTTTATAATGTCTTTTAATTGTTTGGTGTGTTAGCAGTTCTTGTTGGATGTCGCCTGTGATTGTGTTTACCCATGAAACGTGACAAAAAATATCCTTTTTTGTGAATAAAAAAATAAAACTCTGTGTTTACGATGGCAGGTTACTTCAGAACAACCGTTACACTGATTTATATAAATACGACATTGTGTCACCTTAGTATACATATGTGAAAATGGTGAAAATAAAAATGAAAAAACACAAGCACTAACAACAAACACGGCCATGATATTATTTGAAATCGTGCACATCCCTAGGCCTGTACATGTAATAATCAAGACACAGTATTGATTAAATGGTGATCTGGCTATTCTAAATAAAGTTTTCCAACAAGGATTTATACTTTTCACTTCGTCTATTATCTGAAAGTTCATCTTTAATAGTTTCTTCATCATTTTATAATGTGAGTAAAACATGAGATTATAAAAATCAATTGCCGAATGAAAACTGTTATGAAGTCAACAAAATAGTGGAAATTACCTCAAGTACATCTAATGCATTTAACAAATATACATTACCTAATCACATTTAGTTTAAACATTATTTTATTTCCAATTTTTGCACATTAAACAAACTTCAAAACATAGAATAAAGAGGATTGGAAACCAAGCTAAGAGCGTATCCTAATGCCCCGCCTCTCATCACACTGTTTACAGATTTCAATCCAGGTGTAGAGTGATCTTACCGGTCTCATTAACTTTTAAACCAGGTAGATTCGTCGTTGCGCTCTTCCGAGATACTTTCATATACTCTACCTTACAACGAGAAATTATCCACGAGCTACCTCCCCTTCACCAACTTCTCTTTGCAATTATAGAAGGTCAGTGTTAGATGGTTAAACATTGTGTGTGAGATCATACTCTCCCTGAGCGAATATAATTGGTACTACAGGTGATTGCTCAGCACATTGCCTTGGCTGCCAGTTGTTGCGTTGGTTTATAACGACGCTTAGTTTGTTTTTGTGTGTCATCAGTTCTCGTTTGATCTCGCCTGTGATTGTGTATTGCAAACGCAATGATCACTAATTAATAATTTGCCAGATTTAACTACTTGCGATGCTTCAGTTCATATTGAAGAAATTTGACATCATTGACCTATGGTATGCTATGATTGAAGACATAAGCATTTTAAGGTTACTATCCTGTAGAAATCGATAGATGTATCAAAGAAAACTTTCACGTCAACAGAAAATATAGTTTGTCAACAATCTCAATAAAACGGCTAAAAAAACTTGTTCAGTAACGTTATGTATTTTATAAAGAGCTCTACCCATAATTCTAACCAAATGCTTAAAAGTTTCATTTAACAATTATCAATTCTGCCACCCCCATTGAAATTTCTGTATGACGTAAAACATAATATTATAACACCAACATAAACAATACACTCAAAATAAAGATGATCATCAAATGAATATGTTTTACCAGATTTAATTTATCCACCTAGACCTTGCTTCTTTTAAAGTAAACACAGAGTGTCGGTTTATAATTAGAATTTACAATTTCGTAAACAATCATCCAGACTAGGAAATAACTCTTATTCTATCAATATGTTGTAGAAACACGGAAATAGTAGAAAACGTTTGAATGATAAAATAAACGTCATTTAAAAATGAATTATTATGGTAAAAATGAATTGCTAGTTTCCAGGCTGATTCCAGGTATACAGAGCTGGATTCAAAGTTCAAATTTATAGATTGGAAATACATATAAGAAATAAAGCCTGCTAATTGTATGCTCGATCGTGAGGTCATGACCTCTATACAGGGTCTGGAGTTGTTAGGATACATTTTTACGGATGCTTCGTTTAGTGAAAATAAGCTTAACTCATTCTTATCTCAGTTTTGGGTTCAACATGTCTCCTCATCTGTATGATTTCTTCTTTATCAATCGAATTCAACTTTTGACTTGTTTATTGACACTATATATTTGACATTATAGTTATCAACTAACACAAGACCGTTATAACATACATGTTTGATTACTTTTATCGACAATTCTATATAACATATGTTTCAGTATTTCATGATTTTATTGACAAAACAGAATAACAAACGCATTTCCTCAGACATCATTTATTGCTAAACAATGATACACGCACGTTTGTGCGATGAAGCCAATTGACATGTTCAGTACTCCCATACAGCTTCATCTTTGTCCTCAGCAGTAATAGAACACATAGAAATACAGCAATGCATCACTTTATTTGAACACATTTGAAACACATACACACGTTCAGTTGCATTCGTCACCGCATTTTAAAATCAATACAAACATTCTGTAACAAAGGATGTGTTCGCGTGTGGAAATGTTCGCGATGCGAACCTTGGAACTAATCGATGAGTGCAAATGATCGCGTTGTCAATAGTACTTTAATCTATAATCTATATCATCTATATATAGATATTAGCGTTCGGATACTTTCGTGCCAATATACTCAAATCGAAAAACGCGAACATTTCCACACCCCAAATATTTCTGTATTACAGCAATATTCATCAGATTTAACTAGTTTGTGGTCCCGATTCGGACCACGACATGGTCAGAGTAGTTACAACATATTGTATAACGATTTGTTGACGCTACGCACTTCGGTACCCTCTATTACATCATAAATACGCTATGTTGTGAATAGCCTGGTTAGAAAAATATACATCATAGGCAGTTATAATATATACACGTACTTCGCATCCGCTGTGATTTACTCTAGGGCATTTTGATTTTCCTAGCCAAGTATTTAAATGACTCATCGAATGATTTCTCGGTTTATAGTTTTGACACGAGAAACGAAATATTTTAAGCTGAAGACAAAACAAAGTAAAAGCTGAAGACAAAACAAAGTAAGGAAAAACAAGTTCCTACTTTTTCAGTATTTTAAAGCTCATATATTTCTAAACCTTGTATCGTTCTAAAAGGCATAGGGTCTATTGTATAATATAAGTGTTTAGACGATATGGTATTTGTTGTGTTTTTATGTAGACGTTATGGTATATGTTGTATTAATGTGTTTAAGCTATGGTGTATTTCGTATTTATGTGTTGAAGATATGGTGTATTTCGTATTTATGTGTTGATGGTATAATGTATTGTATATTAATGTGTTGAAGCTATGGTGTGTTTCGTATTGATGTGTTGATGATGTGGTGTATTTCGTATTTATGTGTTAAAGCTATGGTGTATTTCGTATTCATGTGTTGAAGCTATATAGTATTAAGTTTTTACGTGATGACGCTATGGTTATTTCTTATTCATGCGTGAAGCTATGGTGTCTTTCGTATTTATGTTTTGAAGATATAAGGTATTTCGTTTTTATGTGTTGAAGCCATGATGTATTTAATATTAATGTGTTGAAGCTGTGGTGTATTTCGTATTTATGTGTTAAAGCTATGGTGTATTTCGTATTAATGTGTTGAAGCTTTGGTGTATTTCGTATTAATGTGTTGAAGCTGTGGTGTATTTCGTATTTATGTGTTAAAGCTATGGTGTATTTCCTATTAATGTGTTAAAGCTATGGTGTATTTCGTATTTATGTGTTAAAACTATGATGTATTTCATATTAATGTGTTAAAACTATGGTGTATTTCATATTAATGTGTTAAAGCTGTGGTGTATTTCGTATTTATGTGTTAAAGCTATGGTGTATTTCATATTAATGTGTTAAAGCTATGGTGTATTTCATATTAATGTGTTAAAGCTGTGGTGTATTTCATATTAATGTGTTAAAGCTATGGTGTATTTCATATTAATGTGTTAAAGCTATGGTGTATTTCATATTAATGTGTTAAAGCTGTGGTGTATTTCATATTAATGTGTTAAAGCTATGGTGTATTTCATATTAATGTGTTAAAGCTATGGTGTATTTCATATTAATGTGTTGAAGCTGTGGTGTATTTCATATTTATGTGTTGAAGCTATGGTGTATTTCATATTGATGTTTTGTTGACGTTAGGTATATTTTTTATGTTAACACTATGGTATATGCGTATTATTAAATGATACGTATTATGTTAGGTAATTGGTCGCGAAACAAAAAACTGCCAAAGTACATAATCTTAGTTAAAACTAAGAGAATTCGAAAGCAATAATGATAACAAATACGATGTACGGACTCCAGTCCCGAATATCTATATACACTCCTTAAAACCGTTAATGTCTTAATACGACATAATCATTTTCGCATTTTTCACTACGATACCCTCTCAGGACAAAAACATGGCAATTGCGGTGAATATTAAGACATTCGGATTGTTTTTAGTTAAATAGTTGTTAAACAAATCTATTGGTAATTAACAATGAGAGTAAAGCATTAAATACTTGTTACAATTATACATGTTCTAAACGTACTGGCGATGTGTGTGATTCCCACAGCATAGCTGTAAAAATCAATTCAAAATGTTCTATCATTAATATTTCTTTTTTTCAATGTCTGTTCCATATTTGCAGAGTACCTTACACCAGTCACGATCATGATCAATAGACGACCTTACATAAGTCACGCGTCAATTAAATTCACGTGTTGGTCACGTGTTGGTCAGTATGAATCGTTGGTCAGTGCCCACGGGATTTCCTTATAAGGCACTGGTCAGATATGCTATCTTGTTAAATTCCATAGTCACTTCACAACCGTCGTACGTTTGGACTGGACATAACACATCAGAAATATATATCAAAATAATTTATTAAAAGTTCAGATGAGTGCAGAAATGGCAATAAGAATATATGCAATAAAATAATGTGTATGTAACGTAATGGTGATATTATTTCGTTATTAATATTATTCAATTATTAACTTTATTTATTTATTCATTTATCTGTTTTTAATGACGTTTGTACTTATATATGCACACTTCCATAATTAACAAATAAACCTTTAATAATTAATTGTGGGCGGATTGGTCGAGTGGTTAACAATCCGGCCTTCCACGCAGGCTGCCGGGGTTCGATCCCCGAAGTCGTCGTACAACCCAGGTGGAGTATAAAATGGTCTGGGGTTGATATTGCGGTTTCTGTGTTGTTGCATTCAAGTTAATTGGCACTATAAAAGATACCGTTGGAAGCACGGTCCCACTACAAACAAAACATTATACATCTCAAGCACACACGCAGACATACACACAGAGGGAGATATTAGCCAGGTGGCATAGGACTAGAACTTAGCGCCTGATATGGCAGCTCCTGCAAATTCCTCAAATTGTATTGATTAATGTATATGCTAATTGAATTGATTGTAAATAAACAATTGTATTTCTATGTAATGTAAAGCGCTTTAGAGTGACTTAGGTTAGCTAGATAGGGCGCTATATCAAATGCTGTATATTATAATGTAAAGCGCTTTAGAGTGACTTAGGTTAGCTAGATAGGGCGCTATATCAAATGCTGTATATTATAATGTAAAGACATTGTCAATATTCTGCTCTGTATTATTTACCAACACATGATACAAATGTGAACAGTTATCACTTTTCTATAACTACAACTTGCCTATTACTAACATCTGCCTATAGCTAGCACCGCGTTCATCTTTACAGAAGTTGGAAAAACAGTTAAACATATTAAGAAATTATACTTTCTAGATTATAGGTTTGTTTATACCAACATGTGTTTGTATTGAATTATCTTCTTAAAATTAATCGATCGTCATTTTAAATACAAAATTATATGAAAATACCGAAGTGTCAACAAAACCATTATTCGAACTAAAAATTGAAAAAGAACAAAGATAATAAGACCAGGTGTTGCAGAAGGATAAGGGTCTTCTGCTTCATTGAGACACCCGGCATGTAAATCTAAATCGAATCCAAGTAATGGCACGTACTCACATCAAATGTTTGATTGTACATGTATGACCTCTTGTTACACATATATGTGTATGTGTCTGGTGCCCTTATAAATCTTAAATCTGTCTATAGCTTTGGCTACTACCACATGGCAATACAGTAAGTATAATGTACCGGTGAACGTTGCTCATAGTTCCTACAATAATTCACAATGTAAACGACAGTTGCTATATATGTACATTCCTCAATACAAATGTCATGTGTTAAATATCAAAGATAAAAGAATGTATAGAAAAGATCCGCGTCATCGACAATATACACGAGGACAAATGCACTAAAGCTGCACTACACAAATATAGCGCAAATACGCCAGAACAAAATATTTCATACCGTCAACGTAGTATGACAAATTATATTATTGAGTCAAAAAATAGAAACGAAAATTTACCATAGCGTAAAGATGTAATGACAAGTTACCTTAGTGCCATAATAAGGACAAAATAAACCTTAACATCAATATCCATATCATATTTATTAATGGAAGGTAAGCTATGTAAGAAGGTCATACATTAGAACAAAACGGGTAAAACAGACTACAGGAACCAAGGTACCATGCACACGACAAATTGTATCCTCATACAAATATAACTATTATGTTTTTACATACGTTGGTATTGTTGTGATACTCTACCAACAAACACATCTGTATGACAATATGCTATAGAGGTTAGCTGGGGATGAAGTATTTTCTCGTTTTACTGACCAGTGCGTTAAAGCCATTGCATTATCTAAGATTAAATGGAATTCCTTGATACTGACCAGAGCATACAAGGTCACACGTGAGAGCCGTCTCCTAACTTGACAACAGGTCACGATTACACTACACGGGGGACGCGTCCTATATTACACTTTATGAAACAAATTTCGAATCCAAATTGGTATAAATATGAGCTGAACATTGGGAAAAGCAGTTCTGACTTCAAGAATCTCCAGACGAAACAGCAACTTTAGTTCGTGAGGACGCACCATGCTTCGTGTACTCTGTCTCGCTCTAGCCTTGCAGGCCGTACTAGGGGGCAACTTGGTACAGGTGTTACAGTCCGCAGGAGAGTCCACGCTGGTCAGCCTAGTACAGAAAGCAGGCCTAGCTGATGCTTTAGGACAAGGTAAGTGGCAAACGTTATTATCTTTCTAACAATTTAAAAGGTCTATTTTCACGTAAAGCGATTTCAAGATGTGATTGTATTTTGGATCTCTAGGATATGTATTCACCGATGTCATAATCGTTCGGTTAAACAGAAGAAATAGAAAATATGAAATTATTTTTAAAGCAAAGTCGACACAGAGAGCCAAATCAAGTAAACATTTTGTAGCATTACATTTCTATTTTGTCCATTTACAATTCATCAATGGTACTTAAGGTCAAAAGAATGTAAACGCATCTCCAAAATGTTACCGACCTCTATACAATGTAGCAATAAAGTGAAAGGGGAGAAGGAGTCTATTAAAACGTTCATAACTTTTTATATTGAAAACGTCATGATACAATACATATGTTTATTACAGTAAAACTTCATGTAAACCGAGCCAGAATAAATTAACTCCTTGACTATGCTTGTATATAGCTTTAAAATGAAGAGTGATTATAATTGTGGACATTCGATATATAACGTAAATGCCTCTTCTTTGTTGGAATACTAAAAGTTTTGTATAACATCTGTAAGTTACTATGGACCATCGTAAACTGTCATGGCTACTTTTGATTACATTTAACGTTCTACCTGTTTCTAGGAACTTTTACCATTTTCGCTCCGACCAATGCTGCCTTCGCTAAGCTGCCGGCAGATCTTCTTGCCTCCCTCAGCAATGACGTCAATGCTCTCGCCAATGTTTTGAAATATCACGTGGTTCAGGGATCTATCCGGAAACAGGACGCTTCCAACGAAGCCCAACTTGATACATTGGCTGGCAAAAAAATCAGGCTCAACATCTACAGTCATAACAATGTAAGTCACCGCCAGTTTTATCATTTTTACCATTTTCATGAGATTCAAAATCACATTGCTTCCAGATCAGTTTCATCCAATTACAATCGTTATTTTCATATTGAAGGTAAATAGCCATCAAACAAATTTCGAGTTAAAAAATTCAAATTAACGACATTGTACTGACTCAGACATGTTTAAACAGACAATAGCGTATGCTAACTCCGTATAAATATGGTTCAGATTTCATAAATATTTACAAGGAACTTTAGCAAGGCTATATATCTAACAGTAAGCTTAGTATTGCAGGGTTTTAGAGCATTGTATATAAATGTTTCGGTTTAGATACATTTTATACCCTAACATGATTATAATATTTAGTTTATATACCAACAATTATGATGTCAGTATGAAGACAATAGACATGAAGTCAGGAGATTGTGACGAGTTGACGAAATCTAATATTAATCTACATGTCGGTCGTTGAAAAATATCCGATGGAAATAGAAACAGTTTTGGTCGGATTTTCACTGTCTCAGTTATTCAAAAAGTTTGTTTCAAATTTCATATGAGATTTAAGAAACTCGCTCCGGTATTACATTATCAATGCAGCAGAACCTGGTTGTGTGAAAACTTATTTCTGAATTATTTTGTAAATCTCATATGCAAAGAAATCGAATTGAGGACTTAATATATTCAGTAGGAATTATTTATCACTCGTTATTAATTCTAATATTAACACGGCCTCAGCCGCTTCTAAAAATATAACTCGTTTGATAGCCATATAGTAATAAAACTACCTTAAAGTAATGAAACGAAAAAAACTGTGATGTTAGTGTAGTGATAAACGCCTGTATAAGTAACACAGCCTGGTACTACAGACTCATCAGTTGACGGGACCTATCGTAAAGTATTTGCTTTTGCAATGTTCGTAGTTAAAGCTGAACCATGATATTACGTACGGTATTAATGAACGGTATAAATTATTCCAGCTCAAATGCAGCAGAGGACAACGAAATATGCATCACGATAATGTTTATGTACAAAACCCCCGATTATATGTAACGCTTATGATGTATGCGAGTGATCAGCTTTCTTTCGATATTGGCTACATTGTTTAATCATTTATAGCTGTGTATAAACGGGATAGAAGTATGTAGTATAAAGTACAGCCTAAAACATTGTTTTTTCTTATTATTTGTTATACAGGAAGTTACAGTGGAAGGGTCCAAGATAACTCACTTCGACCTTCGAGCGGACAATGGATACGTCCACATCATTGATACAGTGATGCTACCACCAGAGGGCAGCATCGTCGATATCGTTGCCGCTTCCTCACAGTTATCCACCTTGTTGTCAAAAGTCAAATCTGCAAACCTAGTTTCAGCTCTGCAAGGTAGGTCAAGGTCATTAAATAGAAGACGACAGTATTGTTGGCCGATACGTAACAAAATTGTCATGTTTTTGGCGATTTAAATCTTGTAAATATTGCTACAAATGTACTTCTCTCAAATCGTTTTGCTTAAAACTTCTATTTAATATTTAACTTTAAACTCTAAAAATGTGAAGCCTTGTTCAAATTGAATTACATTTTGACTTGTTACAAAAGATCAATAAATCTGTTTATTATATTGATAGCTACCTTCAATTGTTTTTTGAAAAGCCGTTTTTATTAAACAGGAGATGCTCTCACCGTATTCGCACCAACAAATGACGCATTTGCACGTCTAGGAACACACGTATTGCACAACCTCGCCAATAACCCCACGCTTCTTAAAGGTAGGAAATAAACTTCAGTATATATTCAAACGTCAGATTGATACTTAGTTTAGATTATAGCATAAGTAAATAATTACACCATGTAGTGCATGCAAGTTTTTCAAATACTCTTTCCAAATAACAGAAGTCCGTGGTGTTTAAACTCTATTCATTTGACAACAAGACATTTTAACTTCATTTAATGATCACTCGTGTTTGGCAAAAACTTGGAGCGTCGTGTATTACAACGTTGGAGGAAACCGGAGTACCCGGAGAAAACCCATGTCTTTGGATGGTGGACTCCCTACCCTTTCCCATCCAATCTTTGAATCGAACCCCAGCCGCCTTGGTGTCTTTTTGAGACAATATCAGGATGTGAATAGCACTTGAAGTGTTCTAGTATATGCAAGGGGGTATGATACGATAGGTAGGCTGTGATACCACATGTTTAAAGGTCTGTGGGTATCCCTCGTTTCCTTTGGTGATGATTTGTCCTTATGTGTCGACTATGAACATGTCTTATGTTTTCTTTGTTGACGCAACGACATGTAACTGTTCTGGAGATTATTTTCATTTTGTCCAAATATAGAGGATACTAGATATTGGTCTGAAGTAAATAACTATATCTTCTTCTCTTTCCTGTTAGAAATTTTGGAATACCATGTTGTCCCACATACCGAGTACTCTGCCGGTCTATATAACAGAGAGCACGTGAGGACACTGGACACACATCATGACGTCATCAGACTAGGCGTATCCGGTACGTATATATTTTAATCTATATATAATCTATTAGCCTATCCCCATCTCCCTCTCTCATTCCCCCAACCCACCACCACCTAGTAAATCGTGTTTACATTTCCTCTAGATACACATTAATCTTTAAAATATGTCACTGTCCGGCCTATAATTGAATTATATTAAATCAATCGGTTTAATATAACCATATATCAAATTTATTACATATCTATATGTACAAAGTTTTCGATCTTGTAAACAGTGTACATATTGTTTCAAAACCACAAGATTACGGATACTGATAATGTATTGGTGTTTTTAAACACATCAGAACATATCAATATTTGGAATATCCAGATTGGATGGAATGGCTCTAGTGGCAATGCCTATTCAACTAAAATGGTTCTTACACAAGATTACCACTTATCAATACCCTTTCCCATGCATAGAATGTATATAAAAGCTTTCCTTTCTCGAAGATATCTTCATAATAAATCATTGTTCTTATATCTTCAAACACTGTGCACAAGTATAATTGGGCATTTACTTCAGTTTATCTTCAGGCCCAATTACCGTACCATCTATTGTCGATTTACAAAGTTAGGTTTTAAAATTTGAAACAACAGAAAATTGATCACAATTGTTTTTCCTTTTTCTTTCAGGCTCAACAGTCCACGTGAACAACGCACAAGTGGTTAAGGCCGACATTAATGCCAGTAACGGAGTTGTCCACATAATTGATCACGTGCTTATTCCACTGAGGTTCCTAGGATCTGCAATATTTGGAAAGAAGTAACGGGAAGTAACGCTTCGTACTGGAAGTTTTTTCTTAAAAAAAAATGAATTAAAACATAACCATATGAACTATATTGAAATGTCTTTCTCCTAAACTACAACGCATTTGTCGATAAGCAGAATATTGTGGATATCTACAAATGTAATAAATCTGTTTTGATTAACTTATAACATTATTTGTATGTAAAATGCACATCATAGTCAATCACAAAGACAAATTGTACCACGGCACCAATGCACAAAAACAAAATAGCCCACAGCATCAACACCGATGGACAAAATATACCACAGTGGCAACACACAAAGACAAATTATACCACAGTGGCAACATATAAGGTCATAATAGACCACAGTGACAACACACAAGATCAAAATGTACCACAGCGTCATCATACTGGAGCAAAATATACCACAACGTATGTATAAACAATCAAAATATACAACAGCGCACTGGCAATATACGATGATAGAATATACCACAATGTCTACATACGTTGACAAATTTTAACACAACGTCAGCACACAATGACAAAATATACTACAGCGTCAACACACAACGACAAAGTATACCACAACGTCAACACACAACGAAAAAGTATACCACAACGTTAAGACACAATGACAAAGTATACCAAAACGTCAGCACACAAGGACAAAATATACCACAGCGAACTGGCAATATACGATGATAAAATATACCAAAATGTCTACATACGTGAACAAAATGTAACACAGCGTCATTAAACTGGGACAAAAATACACTAGAGCGGCAACACGCGGACAAAACAAAATATACCAAACCGTCGACATTCGTGCATGAAATAAACAAGACGGATTGAGGAAACACAAAATTAAAAAAAAAGAGAAAGAACAAAGATGACGCCATTACAACAGACACGAACCCATGCGATATAAAGTAGTGCAAAGCAGCTTGTGACATTCGGCGTGAGGCAAAGGATCAAATTGTTATCTCTCTTTTACTGAATTTTTCATTACCCATTTTTATGCCCTGTTGGGATTTTTTTCATATATAGATATAGCTTATCAAGCAAACTTTCCCTGATACACTGACATAATACAGGAGTAGAGACGAAACAGAACGAATTCAAACTCCCGAGTAATCACGTATAAGGCTACGATGGTAACGTAGCTAGGTGACTAGCAAGGTTCACATAACAATAGATATATTTTGCCCAAATATTGTTTAAACACATAAAAAACTTAAATAAACATACTCGGCATGTTTCGGTTTTTAAAATCCCATTTTATGTCATACGGGCAAAATGTTCGTACAGTATTAGACTAAACATTGTTTTATTTTTATTTATTTATCTATTTATTTTTGTATCGAAACTGAAGTAATTTTCGTATGTTGACGCTGCAGGATATTTTCAGTAATATGAAAAATTATCATGAAGAAATAAGCGTTGTTTTAAAAATGGCAGATTACCTCGGCTCAGCCGTTACGCTGCGGTTTGTGACATTGTTTTACGTTTGTAGACAGATTTAAAAATATTGAACTTAAAACTAAATACATAACGGCCACGATACTTTTTGAAATCATGCATATCCTTGTAAAAAAAACCAATACATTGTATCGATTAAATGGTGATCTGACCATCCTACATACAATGTGCAAATGTCTAACAAGGATAGATATTTGACATTGCTCCTTTCACCTTAAAGCTGAATCTTAACAGTTTCTATATCATTTTGCAACGGGGGTAAAAATTGACATTATCAAACACAGTGGCATTACTTCAAATTACATCGAATGTATTTAAAAACAAAACGCATCTCCGAATCACACTATTTACAGATTTCCATCCAGGTCTTATTAATCATTGCGCCCTTCTGTGATACTTTCAATATTATATGACAATAAATAACCTGCCTTACATCGAGGAATTTATCTGCGAGCTACCTTCCCGTCCCTTTGCAACAATTGAAGGTCAGCGTCTGATGGTTAAATAGCGTGTGTGACATCATTTTCTCCTGGAGAGAATACGACAGGTGCTGCATGTGATTAGTCAGGACATGGTCTTCCTTGGCATTGTTTTTGCATTGGTTTATAATGTCTTTCAATTTGTTGGTGTGTTAGCAATTCTTGTTGGATGTCGCCTGTGATTGTGTTTACCCATGAAACGTGACAAAAATATCCTTTTTGTGAATAAAAAAAATAAACACTGTGTTTACGATGGCAGAATACTTCGGATCAACCGTTACACTGCTTTATATGACATTGTGTCACCTTGGTATACATTTGTGAAAATGGTGAAAATAAAAATGAAAAAACACCAGCAGCAACAACAAACACGGCCATGATATTATTTGAAATCGTGCATATCCCTGTACATGTAATAATCAAGACACGGTATTGATTAAATTGTGATCTGGCCAATCTAAATAAAGTTTTCCAACATGGATTAATATTTTTCACTGCATCTTTTATCTCAAAGCTTATCTTTAATAGTTTCTACATCATTTTACAATGGGGGTAAAACATGAGATTATAATAATCAGTTGCCGAATGAAAACTCTTGCGAAGTCAACAAAATAGTGGAAATTACCTCAAGTACATCTAATGCATTTAACAAATATACATCATCTAATCACACTTAGTTTAAACATTATTTTATTTCCAATTTTTGCACAATAAACAAATTTCATAACATAGAATAAAGAGGATTGGAAAACAAGCTAAGAGCGTATCCTAATGCCCCGCCTCTAATCACACTGTTTACAGATTTCAATCCAGGTGTAGAGTGATCTTACCGGTCTCATTAACTTTTAAACCAGGTAGATTCGTCGTTGCGCCCATCCGTGATACTTTCATATACTCTACCTAACAATGAGAAATTATCCACGAGGTAACTCCCCTCTTTGTAATTTTGAAAGGTCAGTGTTGGATGGTTAAACATTGTGTGTGAGATCATACTCTCCTTGAGCGAATATGATTGGTACTACTGGTGATTGCTCAGCACATTGCCTTGCCCGCAGTTGTTGCGTTGGTTTATAACGTCGCTTAGTGTGTTTTTGTGTGTCATCAGTTCTCGTTTGATCTCGCCTATGATTGTGTATTGAAAACGCAATGATCACTAATTAATAATTTGCCAGATTTAACTACTTGCGATGCTTCAGTTCATATTGAATAAATTTGACATCATTGACCAATGGTATGCTATGATTGAAGACATAAACATTTTAAGATTACTATCATCTAGAAATCAATAGATGTATCAAAGAAAACTTTCACGATATCCCCATCGACAGAAAATATAGTTTGTCAACAATCTCAGTAAAACGGCTGCATTTTGTTCATGATAACAGAATTTTGTTGTGATAAAAAAAACTTGTTCGGTAACGTTATGTTTTTTATAAAGAGCTGTACCCTTAATTCTAACCAAGTGCTTAAAAGTTTCATTTAACAATTATCAATTCTGCCACCCCATTGAACTTTCTGTATGACGTTAAACATAATATTATAACACCAACATAAACAATACACTCAAAATAAAGATGATCATTAAATGAATATGTTTTACCAGATTTAATTTATCCACCTAGACCTTGCTTCTTTTAAAGTAAACACAGAGTGTCGGTTTATAATTAGAATTAACAATTTCGTAAACAATCATCCAGACTAAGAGATAACTCTTATTCTATCAATATATTGTAGAAACACGGAAATAGTAGAAAACGTTTAAATGATAAAATAAACGTCATTTAAAAATGAATTATTATGGTAAAAATGAATTGCTAGTTTCCAGGCTGATTCCAGGTATACAGAGCTGGATTCAAAGTTCAAATTTATAGATTGGAAATACATATAAGAAATAAAGCCTGCTAATTGTATGCTCGATCGTGAGGTCATGACCTCTATACAGTGTCTGGAGTTGTTAGGATACATTTTTACGGATGCTTCGTGTAGTGAAAATAAGCTTAACTCATTCTTATCTCAGTTTTGGGTTCAACATGTCTCCTCATCTGTATGATTTCTTCTTTATCAATCGAATTCAACTTTTGACTTGTTTATTGACACTATATATTTGACATTATAGTTATCAACTAACACAAGACCGTTATAACATACATGTTTGATTACTTTTATCGACAATTCTATATAACATATGTTTCAGTATTTCATGATTTTATTGACAAAACAGAATAACAAACGCATTTCCTTAGACATCATTTATTGCTCAACAATGATACACGTACGTTTGTGCAATGAAGCCCATTGACATGTTCAGTACTCCCATACAGCTTCATCTTTGTCCTCAGCAGTAATAGAACACATAGAAATACAGCAATGCAACACTGTATTTGAACACCTTTGAAACACATGCACACGTTCAGTTGCATTCGTCACCGCATTTTAAAATCAATACAAACATACTGTAACAAAGGATATGTTCGCGTGTGGAAATGTTCGCGATGTGACCCTTGGAACCAATCGATGAGTGCAAATGATCGTGTTGTCAATTGTTGTCAATAGTGTTGAAATATATAATATATATCCTCTCTATATAGATATTAGCGTTCGGATACTTTCGTGCTAATACACTCAACTCGAAAAACGCGAACATTTCCACAACCCTAAAATTTCCGTATTACAGCAATATTCATCGGATTTAACAAGTTTGTGGTCTCAATTCCGACCACGACATGATCAGAGTAGTTAGAACATATTGTATAACGATTTGTTGACACTAAGCACTTTGGTACTCTCTCTCTCTCTCTTACGTCATAAAGACGCTAAGTTTTGAATAGCCTGGTTAGAAAAATATACATCATAGGCAGTTATAATATATACACGTACTTCGCATCCGCTGTGATTTACTCTAGGGCATTTTGTTTTTCTTTGCCAAGTATTTAAATGACTCAATTGAATGATTTCTCGGTTTATAATTGTGACACGAGAAACGAAATATTATTTCTGACCCAAGAGCTTCACCTATTGTTTCATTTATTGTGTTTTACCCGTTTATTTTAGATAAATGGTATTTTGGGATAAAGGGCTATGTTGCTATGTTGACTTGAATTTCATTGACCAACGTTCTAAAAGGGATAGGGTCTAATGTAATATATTAGTGTGTAGACGCTATGGTTTATGTTGTATTTTTGTGTAAATGCTATGGTATATGCTGTATTAATGTGTTGC